ACATCAGCCACTTCCACAGTGTCATTACCTCCCACCGGTGGGGAAACTGAGGCCCAGAGAGGGGAAGTGTCCCGCCCAGGGTCATACAATGAGTCACGTGAGCAAAGCTCCGATCCAGGTCTGTGTGGCTCCAAGTCCACATCCTTCCTGGGTCTGTTCTCTGTCTCCCCATGGAATTGGCAAAAAGGGACCCAGGAGGCCGTGGGACAGCAGATTTGGGGTCAGAAGATTCAGTTGAATCCTGCCTATCCCACTGCCATCCTGAGTGCTTCTAACTCAGAGAAAGATTTATTTATTTTTGGTTTTTCTGAGACAGAGTCTCACTATGTAGCCTGGGCTGGCCTCAGACTTGTGATCCTCCTGCCTCAGCCTCCCAAGTGCTGAGATTGATGCCATGTGTCACCATGGCTGGCTTAAAATATTTTAAAAACATTTTATTACAAAACAATTCATGTTCATTGTATTATATGTGAAACAAGGTGGGCTAGCAGAGATAAAATTAAAGGACAGCTGTGATTTCCTTGCTACAGGGTTTGTGTGTTAGAAGCCTCTTCCTAGTCAGGCATGGTACAGCACACTTGTACTCCCAGCACTCAGGAGGCTGAGGCAGGAAGATTGTCATGAGTCCAAGGCCAGCCTGGACTGCACAGCAAGATCCTGTCTCAAAACAAAAAAACAAACAAACAAACAAAACAAACAAACAAACAAACAAACAAAAAGTGACTTCTCAGATGGCTGGAGGCTTGAGGGACAGTGACATGTGGCTGGAGCCTGGGTCTCCTGCCCTCCCGTGTCCTCTCTCCAGCCTCTCTTGAGCCCCTGGCCAGCTGCTACCATAGACAGATGAGGTAAGGAGAGAAGGGCTCAGCCAGTCAGGTGTGCTGGGGCGCGACGAGGCGGAGGCGGGGTCCGGGACCATGGGGCCAGGAGAGGGGGGCTCCTCGGAGGAACCGCATCCCAGTCAGGGCCTGGAGCACTGGCAGGAACTGGGTGGGAGGCAGAGGACAGCGAGAGAAGGGTCACAGGTGGACGGGTGGGGGTGGGGGTGGCTCAGAGGTACAGAGGGAGCAGGGTATGGGCTCTGCGGTGGGCACACAGTGGGTGGTGGGCAGTGACTGCTCTGTCCTGGTCTGCGAAGGGGCACAGGCAGGGCAGGGGACGGCGGGTGGAGGGTGCACCACAAGGCCAGTGGTTTGTTTTCTCAGAATGTCATCCTGCCACCAGCGTCATTTCCCTCTGCTGCTCTTCCTGTGTCCCCTGCGCATCCCTAGGCAGGACCAGCGTCCACAGTCTGACTGGCTGTTTGTAACTGAGTCTGCGGGCAGGGAGACTTTTTATCCCTTGCAAGTTAATGCAAACGGTTAGGGAGATGAATAAATGACAAGAGCTGCCGATGGACTGTTGGGCTCAAAGGAGGGACATTTGTCTCACTTTAGAAGAAGGACCTGGAGGGCTCAGCCCCATCGACTCGCTCATTGTGCTGTTATCTGCCAGAGAGGCAGCAATTAAGACAAACTTTGGTCTCTAAGTTCTTGCCTGCAATCTCGTGCCTTCAAAACAAGACAAATGATACCGCCAAAGAGGAGGCCGAGGCTTTCTCAGACTGTCCAAAGTCACAGGGAGTATTTGCGGTTGTTCAGCAGAAAGTTTGTCATTATGAGTGAAGCCTGGGCTCTGCTGGTTCATCCCGCCCCCTTCCCATGCCGGGATGTAGTGGTCTCATTCTCCTCCCCACAGCCCCCCCTGCACCCCTCTTTCTCACTGACATGGCTGCGACTGGGGACACAGGCTGCTGTTCTAAAGGGGACCAGACTTAGCTGAAGGCTGAGGTCCAAGGGGAAGCTTGGGTGGCAGTCAGTGACATTTTTGAGATGGCATCACAGTCTCCCCAGGGACAGGTTGCAGCGGTCTGGGGAAGACACCAGCCTGCATGCCTTGCACCGTCCGGAGGCTTCATCCTCATTCTCAGATCTGCAGCCTGCGTGTCTAGGGGTCCTGACGCTTGTCTCCCCACAAAGACCCAGGTCTTTGGGCCTGGTACAGACTCAAGGGCCTGGTCTCTGGCAGGGCACCCTCAGCCTGGCTATGCCATTGAGTAGCGCTGCCGCCTGACCAGGCTGGGTCTCACGGGGGGACTCCAGGTCACACTGTCTTGGATCACAGGACCTGGAGTGAGGGTCCTACTTTCCTTCCCTCCGCTGTTCTTGGAAGATCCCAGTCCCTGGGATTTTGAGTACATAAGATGGAATATGGAAGGGAGGGACAGTGGCTTTTTTTTTTTTTTTGTACTAGGCATTAACCTCAGGGCCTTTGCATTCTCCTTTTTTAATAACTTGAGACAAGTTTAACAAGGTCTTGCTAAATCCTTATTCAGGCTGTGCTTAATCTTGGCATCCTCCTGCCTCAGCCTCCCAGAGCACTGGGATTACAGGATTCTACCACTAGGTCCAGTAGGCCCATGTACTGAGGAGACCTTCTTGCTTCCAGGCCAAGACTCTGGCCCACCCTGTCCTGGAAATGTTCCTATCACTGGCCTGTGAATCTGGTGGCTGAGGCATCACTGAGGCTGGAGTGATGGATAGTAGGACAGTGAGAAGTCCTGGAGCCCAGAGGCTGTCCCAAGGGGTTCCACTTGGGGGTCTCCTGCCCCATCCCCTACCCCTCAGAGCCTTGGTGTGCTGGCCTGGGCCAGGTCTTGGGGATGGAAATGAACCAGATGCTCCTGACCCTAGAAGGGCTGTGATGTACCCAGAGAAGGGAATAAAGGAGCTACCTAATGGGGTCCGAAGAGGTCAGGAAGTACTGAGCCCGGGTGAGTGTGGGGCGGCATTCCAGCCCAGGGTGGTGCTCATTCCCACCCATAGGGCTCCGGGCTTGTGACCTATGGCCTCTGCGCACCAGGCAGCTTAGCCTTGGGCTTGACTGCACCTCAACAGGCTGAAGGGGCCCTGCCTCCAACCACAGGGGTCTGTGCAGGAGCTGCCCAGGGGCACCCAGCCCCCCATCTTCCTGCTTCAGACCAAGGGTGTGCTTGTATGTTGAGGGCCACCCCAAAACAGGGACTGTCAACGTGGAGGGAGGAGGGTGTGGGCCTCAGAGGCCCCAGGCGCCCTAAAGTTGTGAACAGGACTGTGTGCGTGCATGCGGGTGCTGGCTGTTCTTGGTTGGGGGCTGGCTGAGCCCCAGGACTCTGGGGCGCCCTCCTAACCACTGGTGGTGGCACCTTGGGTAGGCTATTCTGCCTCTATGTCTGTTTCTCCATCTGTAAACTGGGCAGAACAACACTGCCACAACCTGCTGACTGAAGGAGCCGAGAATGAAGTCCTGGGCCAGTGCCTGCCATGGGAGACCTGCTCATTTTCCCCGGCTCCCAGGATTCGGGCCACCTGGTTCTCCAAACAGGGATGAGCTGGGACGCTGCTGGCTTGCATTCTAGGGGGTGGGCTGCTCTTCCCAGGCAAGCCGGCCACGTGTGCCTGTGGGCTTCCAGGCCAGTGAAATGGCAAAAGCCAGGGCAGGGGACTCTGTCCTCTAAGCCAAGTGATGCCTCATGGGAGGGTGGCCCTGCCTGGAGCACTGGGCTGGCACAGAGGGGAAGGCCAGCTCCCCCGTGGCGGCCATGGGACCCCCAACACTGGTGCCCTTCACACCCGGACGCCTGCCCTATGACGGACTGGGCTCTCTGCCCTCACGCAGCTTCTCTTCTGATGCATCACAGAGACAACAGGGAGTAAGCTATTAGCTTGTGACATGGGGAAAATGGTGCGACAAGGACCCCAAGCCCCAGAGCAGGGGTGGGGGCTATGGTTGTCCAGCGGGGCTGGGGGAACCCTGTAGGTACTCCTGGGGTGGAACTTGCAGCCCTCCTGCCTCAGCCTCCCAGGGGCTGGGATGACAGATGTGCATCATTGCCCGGTTGGATGTGCCTTCTCATTAACAGGTTCCTCCTCTGCTGCCCTGTGAAGGGCAGGGCTGGAAACTGGTAGGGGGTCCAGGCTGGTGGGGGGTCCATGTGGGGTCCTCATGGAGCAGGGCGGCACCAGTCTCTGCTGAAGGTGAGGACCGAGGAGCTCAGGGTGATCTTGATATAGGTGAGAAGGGGAGGTGCATGCAAGGGCCTCACAGGCCTGAGGGTCTAGGTTGAGCCCAAGGCCCAGCCTGGGCACTGAGGTGTGGGCCCTGGGGGGTGGGCAGGAGATGCTGCTGATCCCAGGGAGGGGGTGAGGCCGGAGTTGTCCTAGGCTTAAGTTGTGACGTGGATGGCCACACTCACCTGTGTGGTGGTGGGTGGACATGCGGAGAGAGTGGAGGCAGCTGAGAATGGCGCAGGGAAGGAGGCCCAGTGGGGTGGAGCACCGCCGCGCCAGCACGGGCACCAGTGGCCAGCTGTGCAGCGGATGCACGAGGGCCTCTCAGCTCACGTGGTTCTTGCCTCGGTCTCTGGCTCCTCCTCAACTGCGGGGTCAGGTCAGTGCTGGTGTCACCGCGCACTGTGTGGGCGGGCGTCTGGGCTGTGTGCCCGGCTCTGCTACTGCCACCACAGGCCCTGCTCCTTGCCTGCCACCAGGGTTGGGCTCTGGGCCTCAGCATCTCTACTGGTTGATACATCGTGTCAACTTGAAAAGTTTAGAAGTTTAATTGACTCAGCAGAGAGCCAGGATTCTGAATTTGTAAACATCCTCATCCTGTGCAGGAGGAGGGCATGGACACCATGTGAGTTCTACACCCCCAGCCCAGGGGAGCTTGTTTATAATATAAGCAGGGGAGAGAGGCTGGTTAGGACCCGCAGCCGCTGCCCTTCCCTTTGTTCTTTGCTGTTTTCTGCTGCTATGCACTGCCCTCTGCCGTGTGCCGCTCTGCCTTGGAGCCAGCCGACTATGGACTGAAACCTCCACTAACTATGAGCTAAATAAACCTTTTCTTCCTAAATTTTGGGTGTTGGGTATTTTGTCCCAGCAACAAATAAAAAGTAACCAAGACATCTAACTGGGGAGCATGCTGGTGCCATCAGATGCCTGGGTGGCACACCTGTCCCAGAGGCCCTGTTCATGTGGAGACCCCGCGTGGCTGCCGGATGCACTGAACACTCGGCTGTGGGGAGATGCCCAAGGCGGCAACACTTTATTCCACCGGTGCTGCCCACAGGGCCTGACCTTTACAGAGCAGTGTTAGTACAAGGGGAGCAGGGGCCAGGGCACTTCCCCCGGCCACTCGGGCTGACCCAGCCTGCTGGACTCGGTGCTCAGGACAGGCGTGAGGACTGCCAGGTAGGAGATGCACCCCGGAGGGTGCCCAGGCAGGGCTATCCACCGTAGGGCGAAGGCGAGTGCGAAGGGCTGGGCCAGTGAAGCTCTTCTGGTGCTGGCAGCGAATGCAGAGGGCCTGTGGGTGGTGTCCCCTGGGTGACCAGTTCTGGACTTCCCTGGGTGGCCTCACGGGGGCCCCTGCTGGCTGCGCCTCTCCTCCAGTGCCCTGCATACCCACATGGACACCACAGTGGTGTTTCCGTCATTGAACTGCACGATGAACGGGTGGCCCTGTGGGAAGAAGAGCAGGGTGACATCAGCCCCAGGCTTGTTTCAGTCTCTTTCCAAGGCTCTTGCTCAGCCTGGGGCTGGGTGTTGTTTCTCAGTAATCCTGGGAGGGGGAAGGCAGCATCTGCTCTACCTTCCCATCCTAGGTCACTGAGGTCCACGACTGGGCACTGGCCTGCCCACAGCCAGCTGGGAGGCAGCACTGTGCTCTGCTGCCAAGTGCTGCGCGCTCCTTGCGTGACCCAATGCCACGCTTCCTGGCCGTCAGCTCAGGCTGGAGCTTGGCCCCTCTGTGACCGACCACTTTCTAGGCCAGTGGCTGCTGGGAGACCAAAGAGTCGTCTGGTCGGAGGCTCTGCCCATGCCTTTGCGTCCCCTGCCTTGTCTGCAGCTCCTCTCTACAGCAGTCAGCATGGTACGGAGGGCTGAGTTCACCTGGGCCTGGCGCCGCCTCAGCTCTAACCTACTTAGCCCACAGTTGGCCCAAGTTATATTTAGCCAGTCCCCTCCCCACTGAGTGATCTGTACCACACGCAGGGCCTCCCAGAGCCTAGTGAAGCTGGAAGCCAGCACACACAGCCAGAGCATTGCCTGCCACAGGGCTGAGGCCAAGGGACACTGAGAAGCCTTCTCATCCTTCTTGGTTACACAATTTATACCTGATGGCTCCCCACAAAAACCTCTGTGGCCTACATGGGAACCCCGGGGAGCCAGGAGCTGGAGTAGGGGATGGGCTTCCTGCCGCCCCCACCCCACGGCCTGTCCTTGGCCGGCACTGGCCCTAGAACTTGCTCAGAGCGCATGACAGCAATGAGCTCCTCATGTTCTCTGCCCATGGTAGAGAAAGTGGTGCCCCCAGCACCTGCAGGGGCTCGGAGAACAAGGCCAGGGCAGGGAAAGGGGCTGCATGGCCCAGCTGGGCCCCACCTCAGGCTCAAGATACCGCTAGGGAATGAAGAATGCCCAGGCCTCCTGTCCTGTGCAGATGCCCTGCCCCTCACACTGCTTGCTGGATGGAGCTGGGGTGGGGTGGAGAAAGGGCCCTGGGGACATGGGGTGGCAGGAAAGCATATGCTATGGGTAGAGTGGCTGGAGAAGCCAGGCTGGGTACATCCTAGGGCTTCTCACGGCACCCTGGGGACAGAGCTGCAGGTCCTGGAGGGAGCAGGAAGCCAGGGAGGGGGCAGTGCAGGAGCACTTTATTCTCCGGTGTGCGCAGCCACCCTGTGCCGCCTTCTCTAATGGCTGCTGGGTGACAGGAAGTCCTCTGCATGGAGGCCATGTGTACACACTTCCTTTCTGGAGGCTCAGCAGAGGCGACCTTCTGCCCTTCTAAAGAACAAAGGGAGAAGCTGTGCTCAGGAGCCAAGGCCCCTCCCCCGGAGCCTGGGGTAACAGTGTCACTTTCCCAGAATGCCGGGTGACTTTGGGGCCATATGCTCCATCTCTGTTGTCATCTGTTGGGGAGCAAGCAGAGCGGAACTGCAGGAGGGGAGTGGGGGCATTTCTCTACTCTGTTCCTGGAAAGGCCAGTGGCCACTGCTTGGGCTGCACGTGCCTGGGATCCCTATGGTGGTCAGGAGCAGAGGGGCCGCTGGCAGGCCTGTCCTTGGGGGGCTACCCTGAAAGGAAGTGACCAAGACACCTGGACGTCATCCCAGCCACTGCTGACTGGTTCAGGGTGGGCACTGGAGAGGGAGAGACGGACAGCCAGCCTGCCCGTGCCAGCAGCCCTGTGTGCAGAGCCGGGCAGGCGTGTGTTGGGCTGGGGTGCTCCCTGTTCCTGCCCCTCGCAGGACTGCTTGCCAGATACAGCAGCCAGAGCTACAGTGTTTGGGTACAGACTTCATCCCAGAAGATGGAGACTGATTGACAAAGGCACAGGAAGGGCTGTAAGAGGTAGGCAGCAGGGGGACCGAGATGAGGAAAGAGCCAGAAGCAACGTCACCTGCCGTAGGCCCCATAGAAGGTCCCAAAGAGCATGCGGAGGGCACGGGTGGAGGCCGAATCCACCATGAAGAAGAGCTGAGCCCCGTATGTGCCCTCTGCCTGGGCACTGTGCCACCTGCTGCTGCAGCTCAGCACCCACCTGCTCCCTCCTGAAGGGGAGACGGGGCCGCAGCAGCCTGAGCCTTCCACATGGCAGGCAGGTGCAGCCACTGTGGGCTGGGACTGGGCCTGGGGTGTGGCGTGGCGATGGGTGCCCCTCAGCAGGCTGCAGGTGGGTCAGCGCCCACCCATGACACGCTGCTGTTTGCCTTTATGGGGCTTTTCAGTTTCTTCCTAAGTAGCAATTTACCTGTTTGGGTCCCCGAATGTTCTGCTTTCTGTGGGGTTTTCCTGACGAGAGCTGGGCATTTGAATCTGTCAGTCACTGGCCGGTGTGGTGTGGGCCCTGAGCCCCGCCTGGCACGTGGCTGGCCCTCGCGCAGTGCTTGGGACACCAGCGGGCGACCTCTGTACTGTGGCTGGGTGCCTCCCGTCTCAAGCGGCCTACTCAACCCCTCCCAGCACCCCCAGCCTATGGACAAAGGAAACCCAGGCTTCAGGACACTCGCCGAGGAGGGACGAGGCCGGAGCGAGAAGTGGCGGAGGCAGGGTTTAAGCCCAGGGAATACCGCACAGCCTGCCTGACCACTGGAGCTCGCTGAGTTGGAGCACAGAGTGCTGTACACTTCTACCTTTTAAGAAAGAGCATCTTTCTAGTGGTTGTGTATTTCGGGCACTCAGCAACTGATCTTTAACTGACAGACTGCTACTACTAAGGAGAAAAGGCATACTGTTTCCTTCCTCCTCAGATCTGCACGCATCAGGCTTACAATCACTTAAAACTCAGCAACTCAATCAAGCAGGAATATTATTTTCATTTTACGGAGGAGGAAGCGCAAGCACAGAAGTATTGAGAAGCTTGTCCAGGCCTCTGAGCTGGGCCTTGGCACGTGTGCGCAGGGCCCAGGACGCCGGCTGCTACGCGTCCTCGGAGGCCTGGAGCCAGGGAGCTGCGCCAGCAGGTGCAGGGCCGAGCGATGGCGTCCGTCCGACTTCCCGACTCCATTCCTGACAAGGCCAGGGCCTTAAGAAATTTCTCAGGTTCTGGAGACCAGAATCTGCAGGTGAGGACTTCCCGACTCCATTCCCGACAAGGCCAGGGCCTTAAGAAATTTCTCAGGTTCTGGAGACCAGAATCTGCAGGTGAGGACAGCAGGGATGGTCAGAAGCTGGGTAGCAGCAGCACACTGTGCGCCGGACCCGCACTCCGGCCGCGTGGAACCTTTCTGCACATCCTCGCCCAACAGATGCTGTGGATCCCATCCCAGATCTGCCAGTGCTTCCTGTGAGCCTTCCGAGAATGCCTCAGAGTGTCAGCATCCTTGGAGGCCATCGTGTGCTAGCTCTAGCCTGGATGCAAGTCACTTGGTTGGCTAGTTACAGCACCACCTCAGCAGCCAGCTTCTCAGCAGAGTGCACAGGCAGAGCTGGGGAGGGCGGCTCCCCGTGGATGGTGTCCTCTGATGTCACTTCTGGCAGCTGAGCACCTCCAACCTGGCCTGCACAGTCATCGTAAGTGATCTATATGAACAGATGGGACCCTCACGACCACACTCACCAATAAAATCTTCCTGCTCGCCCTTTGAAAGCACCTGCACGGGCCCAGAGGATGCTGAAGCCCAGGGGTGGCTGCTAAGGCTTTAAAAGTACCAAGCAGCCGGGTGTGGTGGCGTAGGCCGGTGATCCTAGCAGTCTGGAGCACTGAGGCTGGAGGATTCCAAGGCCAAGACCCTCAGCGACTTAGTGACTGAGCAAGACCCCGTCTCAAAATAAAATTTAACAAACAAACAACTGGAGATGTAGCTCAGTGTTAAGGCCCTGAGCTCAATCTCTAGTATCAGAAAAACAAAGAAACAACTTCTCCGTGACACACACACACACACACACACACACACACACACACTCTACCAGTGTGATCCCTATTTACCCAGCAGAAAAGTTCAAAGTAGAGAAGCTAAACAATTTATGGCAAGGGGCAGATGTCCGACGTCCTCTAAACTGCTGACAGGTGGCAGGCAGTGGGCAGCTCTTTTGACAGGATCTGCACGGGATAGTGAATCAGGCTCATCTACAGGGCCGTGGGAAGGGGGAGGGGGACCCTGGGCAGACCGTTCATACACTGCCAGCCCCTTCTCTGTGGGAGGCTGGTTCCAACACAGTGAGGCCGTCGCCAAGGCGGTCCCGCAACCCTCCAGGGTGGCCTGCACTCTTTACTCTGACTAGGGCCAGCATGCAAGCTTTCTGCAAGGCTCCCGGGCTGCACAGGCAAGCACAGCTACCGGCCAGAGTTTCATGGAGGCCAGTGTGGTCCAAGCTGTGCACTGGAGGCAGGCATGGGATCTACTTCCTGTCACCTCTGGGTCTCCTTTTTGGGATGGTTTTGAATGTAGGGAAGCTGTGTGTGGGCCTCTGGGCCTCAGCTGGAGCCCGCCAGATCCTCCTTCCTCCACAGTGGGCTGAGCGGACCAAAATTAGGTGGCCTCACCAACAGATGATCAGATGCCCTGTGCAGTGTGAGTGCGGATGCCTGGATACCATTGGCCCCAGAGTCCTGCAGCTGGGGTGCAGTATTCACAGGAGAGAGCAGGAGGCTCCTGTGTCCCCATAGCCTATTCAGGCAAGCCAACTGCCCCCCTCCAGGTCTTTTACACGGTACAAGGGCACTGAGGGAGACAGGGAGCTCCCCAACTCTCATATGAGTAGATCTATATGCTCCTGAGAGTGACTAGTTAGAAAATGGCACGGTGGAAGGATCAGAGGCTCTGAGGGGGCTGGGAGGTGTTCCAGGACCCATGCGTCCCTGGCAGCCCATGGTGACTCCAGCAGGCACAGCTGGGGTGCAGTGGGTGCTGACATTTGTGGGTCTGTGTCCAAGAGAGCTGACCCTTGTCTCGTGAGTGCCCGATGGCGGCGTTTATGTGGGTGGGGGGCATTAGGGAAGCAGCTGCTCCCCA